TTAAAACCCGTATCCACATCCAACCACAGGTTCGGATTTGTATATATCGTGTATTGCCTACACTATTGCAGTGGAGTGTGGTTGCGGTGGCGGGCGGCGGTGTTAAATGCGGTGCTCTGCATGCAGTGCATTGGTGGCAGTTTTCTTTGTTAATATTTGTTGATAATCATGACAAAGTAGGCAAGTCAGAAACTTTGTGATACGCATCGTATTCGTCAACCACTCCACATTCCTTATTGAACCCTGGTCGCCTCTTCTCGTTTGTAATGCAATATTGTCAATAATGCAATACCACCGTCTATTGGTGAATAGTTTAACAGTCAATTAAATTAGGCGAACCATGGACGTGGCTTGGAAGAGTGGAGGCGTCAGCCGGACCAAAACTCGTATTGTTGTTGACAAAGGCACCTATGTATTTTACCATTTTGATGATAAAATGATTTCACTTTGTCCATCATAAAATTATGTGCATTATTTATACAATTAAAAAAATTAAATGCGCGTGATAAGGTCTGAGGAAAGTTAAAATTTGGTTATTTATTTCGACGAATTAATAGAAGCTCGTCAATCATTTTAATATTTATGTGTGACTATGTTTATAAAATTATGCAGGTTATTCAACGTTAGTAAAAAATCAAACCAGCTAGGAAGAAATTTTTTTAAGAAATTAATGTATCAGATACCTAATTATTAGTTATAACATATTAAATATATTAGAATTACTAAAACAGTGTAACTTTATAACACAACACGAACTAGTTTATCGTTGAAAATGCACGCGCAACCAATATTATTGAAATGTAAACCACAGAAATCTATGTACATTCACGTGACCTTTAAACCTTATATTTTCATCAAGTCCTTGAATGGACAAATAAAACGCATCCGTTTCGAGATGACGACCATAATGACACTGAGTTTGGTTTTACGTAGTCCCTATATTTTCATCTTTTTCTATTTTTTTTCTACATATTTCTATATGGTTTTCGGTCCATTGTCTGAATCAATGAAGTTTTTATACTGCGTAGACGGCTGGGCATGTTTGATGAACGCAGTCGTAAGTTTTCTGATGTGGAATAAATTTATAGTCTTATAGGCCCTCCATTGATCGCTGTGTATTATCGTTGTATATATATTACGGTTGACCCGGCGTGTCATTGTTATGATCGACAATAGTGTCTGGATATATAGTTTTCCATCAATAAAAGAAAACAAACTGCGCCGCCGTTTCGTAACTTATTCCCACGTCGAATCGAAATGAGTGGACAGCAGTACATACAATGATTTTAATTATTAACGTGTAATTATTGTTTAAACAGTAATATAGTAATATACTAAATATAGTAATATTAGTAATACAAAAGGGAAGAGTTCTGATAGATTATTATAAACATTTTAGATTCTGAACGAAGTGATGAATGTATTGATTTTACAATGATGTGTGTTTTTTTTGTTTTTGTTTTTGGGTCTGTGTACAGCATAATTAGTTGAAATAATGCTTCAATTTCAAACTTTGGGGGTAGTTTCCGATGTAAAAGTGAATTTCCTTGGTGCATTATAGAGGTCAAAAGTAAACATTTTCCAACAGTTTAAAAAAAAATCGATTTTTTTATATGGTTGTCATTCAAAAACTAATCACTGTAAATACTTGAAATTTTCACCAAATGTTTTATGTTAGTATTATATATATACAGTTTAATTTTTACAAATTTTTGACTTTTTTTGAGTTATTTATACTTACTGAAATTTTCAATTTTTTTTAGAATTTTTTTTGAAGTGCCGGTAAAAAAATGTTGGACGACCAAAAAAACTTCAAAATTTAATACAAGGTTTTTTATGTGTTGTTCGTATTGTAGCTAAAAAAAATTAAACGTCGTTAGTCACAATTTTTTTTTATAAACGTTTATTATAGTTCAAATTTTTACGAAATTTGTCGAAAACCCGAAAACTTGCAAGTAATTTTTAAGTTGAAAAAACATAAAATTTGTTGTGTTTATAACTAAGGATTAAAAATACAACACTAAGTTTTCTGTTTGTTTTCCTTCAAGTACCTATAGAGAAAACTCGAAACATCATTATAGGAAAAATTTTAAGTGCGTTTGAATTTTAAATTTTTACGAAATAGCGTAACGATAACGATTTATCTTCAAACGATTTTAAATATTTGTACTTATTCAAAAAGTATAAGTCGTAGATACTTGAAAATTTCACAAGTTATTTAGATTGGCAATTTTCAAATTATCTTAGATAGAAATTTATAAAAGTTTTTCTTTTTAGATCTAAGATTTGAAAATTTAATACAAGGCTCCTAACATATTGTAACAATAGCAGTTGAAAAATAAAAGAAATATACAGTCATAATTTTTTTTTTACATGCATTCAAATTTTAATTTTGACAACATACGTAAAAATCATTAAAATTCGTAAATTATTTTATCCTAGAAATTCATAAAAAATTTTCCTTTTATATCTAAGATTTGAAAATTTTTAATTATCTTTAATATATCCTAGACAAATAAACCGTCTCCGTTCAGAATCGTTTTTCGTAATTCAATTTTTTTTTTTCTTAAAAACATTCCAGATTATAATAACTTGCAAATTAATAATAAATTAATCATTGCCAKTATTTATTCTTAAAATGGTAAGTTT